AATTGATGAAAAGTCGAAAAAAGAAGATTCAGTATTTTTTTCAGAATAATTTATTGAATATTTTCTTCATAAGATTATCATCTGCCAAAACAATATTTATTGGATAAGACTCTTTTAACCGATGAAATATGTTTAATATTTTTATTATACATTACCGTATAATAAAAAATCAAACAGGTTAATATTAATATTCAAAATTTACTTTATATATTTAGATGTCAATATACATGGTTTTTCTAACAATATAATACAAATATATCTTTGTAATCTTATGTATCAAATTATTATTTACTTAATTTCGAAAAATATAATTGATTAAAGTTTATGTCACATTATTTATTATTAGTTTTCATAAATTAATTCAAAAGAAAATCATATGATACATGTTATACTTTGAATAGATTCATCTACTACTATTGTTTCTTTTTCGTGATTACACCAGTCGCCGATCTTGCCCTATTCTTTCCAGGTTCTTGTTTTTCTTGATTTTCAAGCAAGATTCTTTTTCTATTCCTTACATGCAAGATTCTTGCCTGAAAATTCCTTATATACAAGATTCTTGTCTGAAAAAACTGATCTTGCCTTTCTTGTGATATTCGTGTAGACCGAATCTTGTCTGATGAGGCAAGAAATTCTTCTCCAGGCAAGATTCTTGTTCTCTTACTTTCTTGCCTGATTCTTGTTTTCCTTGAATTCTTGCCTGATTCTTATCCTTCTTGATTTTCTTGCCTGTTTCTGATTTCTTAGGCTTCTTGCCTGATTCTAGTCATATTGAAAAAGCCTTTTCTAGGTTATTACTATTATTTTTATTTTATTTTATTATTAGCTTTTCACACCATGTACAAAAAAATATAAAAGAACAAAAAAATACTTTAAATTTCACATTTTCATGAAGTAGTTTTAGTTTTTAACATAAAAATTAACATAAAAATAAAAAAAATTCTTCTTTTACTTATTTTCTTAAAATTTTACCTATACGATGAGGATTATCAAATAATAGTTTTTTAAATAAATCGATATTTTCTTCGTCCATTATATGTAATACTTTTCTCGATAGTGAAAAATCTAGAAAAAAAAATAAAATATATAGATATGAATTAGAAAAATATCAAAATATGTTCAATAAGGATTACTTCCAGGAAACAATGAGAAAATGTATATCATATATTCGATTGTTTTCTTGATATGAAATAAACTTTTACTATACATCTAATTAAAACAATAACTTACTAGATGTCGGTTGAATTAAATAAACGCTTCAGAAAAAGAAAATAATCTAAGTAAATTTGCACTATACTTATCGAGTCAATAATAATTATGAATAAATAACGGTCAGCTAATGCTTTTATATATGTGATAAACAAAGATCACATCACGTGCCGTTCATCTTGAAAAGCTGACAAGAATCTGTTTTCTTTTCTATTACAAGAATCTTGTCTGAATATTAAGAAATATAAAATATCTTGTGTTTCTTTCAAGGTTCTTTTTGTCTTGAACTTCAGTCCAGATTCTTTTTTTAAAGGGAAGACAAAGATTCTTGTCTGAATATTAAATATATCTTGAATATCTTATAATTCTTGCCTGATTCTTTTATTTCTGATTGTTCAGACAAGATTCTTGTCTACTGGAAATTCTTATGAGATTCTTTTTACTTTCCTGTCGAAAAGAATCTTGCCTGAACATAAGAATCTTATCAGAAAAGCAAGAAAAGCAAGAACCTGGAAAGAAGAGGACAAGAACGTCGACTAGTGTAGTTTTTAATATTAATATCGAGATTTCGTAGTTCAATCTTATATTTATTTTATAAAATATGATTTATTTTTAAAATCTTAAATATGATGACGATATGAAAAATAGAACACGGCAAACATTAAACCTGTTACAATCAAATTAATACATATACTAATAAAATACCAAATAATAAATATTGTTAATGGCATTCGTTGGGTTCTTTTATCTAAACAATATAACCAATACCATCCGATACAGCACATTATTTCACATGTTGTGAAATGAACAGATCGTCCAGTAGTACTATTTTCATGATGTATGACATGTTGTGATTTAATTAATTTATAAATAAAATAACTTGTTTGAATAAGAAATGTGATAATGAAGCAAATCGAACATATAATCCCAGCAATTACAAGAACCATTTATATATTTAATAATGAAATAGTGAATGAAGACTAATAATCATAAATACAAAACAGAAAAATAATAGAACTAATAGAATCGGTATAGCTTTTTATACTGTTTGAATTAGTTATTTACGATAAAATAATAGATATTTACTTATCGTGTCATTGAATAAATTGGATTTTTTATAAAAATAAATATTAATAACTTACCTAAACTATATTTATTTATGTTCATTAACACCTAGAATATTGGAATTAAATGCTACGAATGCTTTATTTCTTGTTAAATAAAAATTGTTATAGATTATTATTTTTAAACGAAGTAAATCATTTCTCAATTATAGTATTAATGTTTGAGAAGATTTTACTTATATATTTTGTATACTATCATGAATATTAATATGCCAATCATCAACAAAATTAATAATTTATTAGGAAAGATAATTATGCTAAAGCATAATCAATCAATTTTAAACTAGATATATCGAATAATAATCACAATAATATTTTAATCTTCAGTTCATTTTTCTTTTAAATAAAATCTATTAAAAACAAATATATAAAATATCTTAAACTATGTTTAATGAAACTAAATTTTTTTAAATGTATGATAGATTTTATTCTTATCAAGAAAATCAACGGTACGAACGTATGGATACATCTACACCATCAAGATGAATAAAATATATGATTGATATTTTTATTGGTTCACGTCAAGAATGTCCTTTAGGAAATGTCCGCGGACGAAATGTCCTTTTGTTTTTCGTCCTTACATATATATTTATGTGAAAGAACGAAAAACAAAAGGACATTACGTCTGAAGACATTTTCTAAAGGACATTCTTGACGGATACCTTTTTATTCTTTAGATCAAATATGAGAGTTTCAAGTTTGACACTTCTAATCGAACTTGAAACAGAATCAAGAACTATAATTTTCTCCTTTTGAAAACCATTTTTAGAATGCAAATGTCAGATCAATTCTCTTTTGACTCTTTTAATCAGATCTTTCAGAAATGTAACATGTGGAGAGTGAGGCTGCGAGGCTCATATATCACCCATATCTTCATTTTACCCTCAGGAAAATAGGAGTTTTTATTATTTACAGAATTTCCCGGCATTTTCTGAAATAACTGTTATTTCATAAAATAATTTATATACTCTTCTATAAAGAATAGCAAAAAGAATAAGAAAAAACTAGATCTAAGTCATCACAATTTTTGATGACTGCCAAATATTCTTCTATGTTTTTCGATGTAAGAGACTTTAAATCAATGTATAGAGTGTCCTAAAAGTCATAATCATTTAAGAAATTGATTTTTCTCTCTTATTAGTAAACTGTTAGTAATATATTTTTAATTTTGTAGAGGAGAATTAAAAGTGCTTTTCAAAAATATTATATTTGACACCAATACAAGAAATGTAGACGTGTTACAGCTCCTAAAAAAACAACATGAAAAGACTCTTTTTTCAATTAGATCGGTATCTCACGTTATTCTGCTTTTCAAATAATCTACATTTTCAACTATTGTTCAATTTATCTGTTGTTGAAGATCTTATTTACAGATTGACCATCTGCATACATCGAGAAGACAGTCTGTAGTTGGCTCAGTGAGATCTTTATCAACCGATGCACTGGAAGAGATAGACCAATATCATAGGTTTCTCGTTAGCCGAATTTAAACCCACTGGACTTCTTTTTGTGTGAGTATCTCAAAGCAAGTGTGTACAAAACAATAGTTGAAAATCTAGATGATTTGAAAAACAGAATAACCTGAGATATCGATTTAATTAAAAAAACAATTCTTCATAGTGCTTCTTAGCAGCTGTAAAGTGTCTACATTTCTTTGATTGATGTCAAACATAATATTTCTAAACAGTACTGTCTATTCCCCTCTATAAAATTAAAAGAAACATTACTAACACTTTGCTAACAAGAGAGAAAAATGAATTTCTTAATCGATCATGACGTTTAGGACATTCTGTATGTCCTATCATATCTTTTACTACGGCCTATATTTTGAAGTGCTACACCAAGATTAACGAATATTTTCCTGTGTCATACTGTACACTAAATTATAGAACTGTGATTTATCATTTATTTCTTTAACTACTTTTGTTTGAAAATAGAAAGATTTCATGAATCAGTTTTGTTTGTTTAGTAAAAACCATACTCATGAGTTTAGTGTATATATAGATTCCAGTAAACTCATTAGAATCTAAAAGATATAAAATGAATATATTGAAAAATTGCAAGAATCTCTTTTTTGGTGTTTTTCTAACAAAATGTATATAGAAAGTAAAGACATCATCAGTTTTATTATACTTTTTTCTAATGCAATTGTAAACATGCACTTTGTTGTGCTCATAGAACATTTACATCTATTGCTCACATGATTCTTTCTCCAACGCAACTTGTTTATTATACAATGCGTTTTTTGTTATGATAAAGAATTCTAAAACATACTTTTGAATGTTGAAAAATTGGTTTTTTAAATGGAATAAATTAAATATTGATTATTTTCTACACAATAAAAGAGTACTAAACTTGAATATGTTTACTGTTAAATAGCATAGCAACTAAAAAAAGTATCTTTCTCAATAATAAATAAGAGTTGTTGACTAATTCAAAATGACGTATGATTTAGTAATTTATTGAAAAGGAAGTCCTGACTTATTTCTCTTAAGTTGATGAAAAAACAAAAAAAAAGAATACGTTACACTAAAAATGAGAGAAAAAATAGGAGAATAGTTTTTCTTTCACAAGTATTTTGCATTTCGTTCGAAGTTAAATTCATTTTATTTATTGCAAGTGTTGTTAGTTATGAAGTCTCGAAGGATTTCTTTGTTAATTTTATTTATGCTGATTACACAAGCAGTGGAACAAGATACACGATCAGTTCTCATGACTGTAATGAATGGATTGAAATTTCAATGTACTAATACAACTTGTACACCGTTTCTTAATCTCAATACAAGAAATGTTCTTACTTGTCAAATGGCTTGTTTAGCTCAAACTGAGTGTAAAGCAGCTACTTTTCATTTACTAACTTCGAATTGTGAATTATTTACTGATATGTCAAATCAAAATGTAAATATGCTGGCTGATTTGGATACTGTTAGTATGAATATTATTAGTGGAACAAGATTTCTACCTGGTCAGTATAAATATACTCAATTTTGAAGAATATTTTCATTTAAAATAATTCAAATGCACCGATGTAGATACTATATTTTCTTATATGACTAACTCGAATTATTTAGATAAGAGAGCAGAGTTCGTTTAGTAGTGAAATCATTATTTTGTTAGAATGGTTACAGTACAGATATAACTAAAATAGACATTACAGTAGAGAAAAGCTAACATGATTCATCTAAGTATAGATAGCTATATTACCTTATTGTAAAATATTCATAATTACAATCGATATATTGTTATAAAAAGAGAAGCAATAAGCTATGATTAAAACTTCATCCAATAATTTTATCTGATTTTAAACTTACTTTTTTAAATTAGAAACAACTGTAACATCAGTAGCATCATCGTCAGGATCGTCAACAACATCATCCCCGATATCCACAACATCATCGTCAACATCCTCCTCGACATCAACAACCACGACAGCAGCACCAGGTCAGTAATATGCTAGTTGATATATAGTTTCCTAAGCACTGTATATTTTCGAGGGTGTTGGTGACGACTAACTTTTTTGTTATCCGGATCTATATATGCACTCACACTCACAAGTTTAGTGCAAGAACATCGTTAGACTTTGGATCTTTAGGAAACATAATAAGTATTGTCGCTTTGTTACTTTGAGAACACATTAAAACTTGTTTGATGAAATAGATGCCAAAAAATTATGATTATTAGCCGGTTTACAGATATATTTCCTATTGATTGTTTAAAAAATCAAAAACGTATATCTTTCTTATTTATTTTAAATTTACTAAGAATTTCAACATGGCTCTTATCCTACTCATAGAAACAGAGAAAACTTAATTGAAGTCTCGAGATGACATAGTTTTTGATTAATGCATACAACACTTCTGTATATAGCTGATTTAAAATTCTCAGAAAAATTATATTTATTTCTTATTTGTTTATCTTCTCTAGGATGGATACCTACAGGAAACATGAATGTCACAAGAGCATATCATACAGCAACTGCACTAGGAAATGGAAAAGTAATAGTTACTGGCGGACGCAATAATATTAGTTATTTCAATAGTGCTGAACTATATGATTCAACAACAGGTAGTTGGACAAATGCAGGAAACATGAATGTCTCACGAGCATATCATGTGACATCTCTGTTACGAAATGGGAAAGTATTAGTTATTGGTGGGTTTACTGGTAGTAGTTATCTGAATAGTGCTGAATTATATAATTTCACAACAGGTAACTGGGCAAGTACAGGAAATATGAATGTTACACGAGGATATCATACAGCATCC